TGATATATAATTTTAATAGTTGAAGTTAGACTTTTGGCCTTATGTGTTTTGAACTCCATTAATAAGAAAGAATGTGAACCTGCTTTTTCTACATAATTAAAATCTTCAAATGAAATAAGTGAATTTTGTTAGGCTTTGCTCATATGTGCTAGATCTGTAAAATAATCAAGAAGTAAGAAAGTGAATTATAAGACAATTATTCATATGACTAGAGGTCAAATCAAATGAAGAAGTCTTAGTGTAATTTTTCCAAGGGTATGAGCTGGTTGTGTTTTCTAAATGGTGTAGATTATTTTTTATTTTTCCTAATTTCACTTTCTGGGAATGAATGATGTCATATGGTTTGTTCTCTGCCAGCACTTAAAGATTCTTCCCCAGACCTTCCCACTGGGTAGATATGTAATCATTCCATTTCACATCTTTACTTCAGTACAATTCCATGCTGACACATCTTCTCTCTGGAGGGAAGAGTGTGGCCTGGTGGCAGCAGCACACATTCCAAGAGCCAGAAATCATTGAGTGTTAATCTCAATATCAGATTCCTCAGTGACTTAGGCAAGTCACTTCCTTGCCCCTTAATTCCAAATCTGTAAAAGAGAGATGACAATGCAATGGTAATGTGAGTAGTAATTAGTGTTGGTAAAGTGTTACAGTAACTCTAAATATTATTATCATTACTTCAACACAGTCAGCTAATTTGAGCAACCTCCCATGAATTTAAACATGCTAGTTAATTAAACTATAAATACACACGGAACGTATTTTCTGCAGTCAGGTATATGCCAATAGTCTTACAAACTAATAAAGAGATTATATTTTAAAAAATTATTGGGAGTTCACTTATTTTTAATTTGGAACATGTTTCCACGAATAAACAATATCAATTGACATCTAGGCAAGCCTATGATCTTATTCATCTTGTGATAAGCACTTTCAATAAACATATTGGAAAATCATATTCTTTTTAAGAGATAACACAAAGAGAGAAAGAAAACTGATATTACCTAGTAGAGGCCATATTAGGTTACAGGATTGCCTGCTATAAAAAGTCATTCCAAAAAGAGTATGATTTAATCAGGACAGAAATTAACTTTTCTCTCTCGGTCACCAGTCAGGAACCATATGACACTTGGGTAGTATCAAGTAGTATCTTTCCATCAAGTAGTATCTTTCCATCTTCTTGCTCTGCCATTGCAACAGTTTGTTATTATACATGCTACCGAAATGCCTTCCTAAAGAATCTGTAAGCCAGTGTGATGGAAAAAAAAAAGAGAAGAGGAAGGCATATTTACTTTTTTAGAAGTACATGCCACAAGTTGTACATGTCTTTCCTCTCACATTTCATAGATAAGGATTTACCCCTATTGTGACATCTAAATGCAAAACAGTCCACAGAACAAAGTTTGAAGATAGGTTAACCTATGCCCAGCTACAGCTTCTATTACTACAGGAAAAGAAGAGAACAAGTGTTTGAATAATAACTATTAGTATTAGGAACAGAGCAAATAGTGGACATTTCTTCATTACATATCACGAGGTTCTCCTACCTTTGTGTGTTCACTCTTTCCTTTACCTCTAACTTGCTTTTCTCACAATTCCATTTGCCAAATTTAACTTAGCCTTTAAAGTCCAGCTTAAATTTCATCTCCTTTATAAAAACTTCTGTAGTAGAGATAATAAAATTGATCAAACATTATACCTCCTTGTCCATATCTGTCAACCATCTTGCAGTATATGATAGGGGCTCCAGGAGGATGACAACCATGGTTCTGGCCAGTGGACTCTGAGATGAAGTGATGTAGATTTTTCAACTGCTGTGGTGAATATGGAGCCTTCTGCTCTAGAAAAGGAAACTACGAGAGGGTAAAGCCTTTTCTATTCTGGATTCCTGAGTGACAACCCAACTTGAATACATATTGTATGTGAGAGAAACTTTATTTGTGGAATAAGAGACTAAGGTTTTGAGGTTGTAATCACAATAGGGTGAATGAAGTCACTTTCTTTGACTCTTCCAGGCAGATTCGATTGCTCCTTCCTATCTGTTCTTTGTATATGAATAGATTTTTGCAAGTCACAATATACTTTTTGATCAGTGTACTTCTGATTTCTTGGGAAAGTCAATGACTTTCTCAATGATTTCTAGTGCAGATTAGAGCTCAGTAAAAGGGTTACTGTTTAAATTATGAATAGAACTAAAATAAGTAGCAAGAAGCAGGAAGGTACCAGAAAAAATGAGACAGTCTAAAAACAGAAAAATATTATGCAATAAAGATATGGCTGGGTATAAAACATTTGATGCTGTTATTTGGCTACAAGAGAACATTTCCATTTTATAGCTTCTGCATGTCTTTTTGAAAACTTTCAGATAAAGACCTGTGAACCAACCCAAATTTTATTTTTTCTACCATTTCTTATTGGATAAATGATTTACTTTTTGGGACAGAGTGACAATCAGCATAAGGAAGCAAAACACAATGATATGTGTCTTCAAGATAGACATGGAATGACACCCATTTCACATTCAATGACATCTACAGGCTCAAAATGAATGGAGGAAAATCTACCAATGAAATGGAAAACAGAAAAAAAAAGCGGAAGTTGCAATCCTAATTAATGACAAAATAGACTTAAACCAAAAAAGATCAAAAAGGACAAAGAAGGACATATTACATAACGATAAAAAGGTTCAATTCAGCAAGAAGACCTAACTATCCTAAATATATCTGTACCCAACACAGGAGCATCTAAATTCATAAAGCAAGTTCTTAGAGACCTTCAAAGAGGCTTAAATTCCCACACAATAATAATGGGATTCTTCAACATCCCACTGACAGTAGTAGACAGATCATCAAGGCAGAAAATAAACAAAGATATCAGAACCTGAAATCAACATTGGAACAGGTAGACCTGATAGATTTCTATAGCACTCTCCACCCAAAAATAATGGAGTATACATTATTCTAATTGCCACATGGCACATACTCTAAAATCAACCACATATTTGGACATAAAACGATCCTCAGCAAGTGCAGAAAGCTGAAATTATACCAGCCACTCTCTCAGATCACAGTGCAATAAAACTAGAATTCAAGAATAAGAAAATTGCTCAAAATCATATAATTACATGTAAATTAAACAACCTGATCCTGAGTGACTTTTGGGTAAATAATAAAATTAAGGCAGAAATCAAGACGTTCTTTGAAACTAATGAGAACAAAGATATATTATACCAGAATCTCTGTGACACAGCAAAGACAGTGTTAAGCAGAAAATTTATAGCACTAAATGTTCATATCAAAAACTTAGAAAGATCTCAAACTGACAACTTAACAACATGATTAAAAGAACTAGAGAAGCAAGAGCAAACAAATTCTAAAGCTAGCAGAAGATAAGAAATAACCAAAAATTAGAGCCAAACTGAAGGAGATTGAGATGTGAAAAATTACTCAAAAGCTAAGTGAATCTAAGAGCTGTTTCTTAAAAAATAAATAAGATAAATAGACCACTAGCTAGACTAATAAAGAAGAAAAGAGAGAAGATCAAAATAAACACAATTAGAAAAGACAAATAGGATATTGCCCCTAACTCCGCAAAAATACAAACAACCCTAAAAGACTATTATGAACACCTATATGCACACAAACTAGAAAAACTAGAATAAATGGATAAATTCCTGGACCATACACCCACCCAGGATTGAACTAGGAAGAAACTGAATCCCTGAACAGACCAATACTGAACTCTGAAATTGAAGCTGTAATAAATAGCCTATCAACAACAACAACAACAAAAACAAAAACAAAAACAAAAGCCTAGGACCAGAGAGATTCATAGTCCAATTCTACCAGATACACAAAGAAGAGCTGGTACCCATTCCTCTTGAAACTATTCAAAAAAATTGAGCAGATGAGACACCTCCTCAACTCATTCTGTGAAACCGGCATCATTCTGATATCAAAACCTGGCAGAGACACAACACAAAAAGAAAACTTTAGGCAATATCTTTGAATATTTGCAAAAATCTTCAATAAAATACTAGCAAACCATAGTCCAGGTGTGGTGGATCATGCCTGTAATCCTGGCACTTTGGGAAGCCTAGGCAGGTGGATCACCTGAGGTCAGGCGTTTGAGGCCAGCCTAGCCAATGTGGTGAAACACTGTCTCTATTAAAAATACAAAAACTAGGTGGGTGTGTTGGCATCCACCTGTAATACCAGCTGCTCGGGAGGCTGAGGTAGGAAAATTGCTTGAACCTGGGAGGTAGAGCTTGCAGTGGGCCTATTTTGTGCTACTGCACTATCCTGGGTGGAACAACAACAACAAACACACATACAAAATTAGCAAATCAATCCAGCAGCACATCAAAAAATGAATCCACCATGATAAAGTAGGCTTTATCTATTGGATGCAAGGTTGGTTCAACATATGCAAATCACTAAACATGATTCATCACATAAACAGAACAACAACAACAACAACATGATCATCTCAATAGATGCAGAAAAGACTTTCAACAAAATTCAACATCCCTTCATGTTAAAAACTCTCAACAAACTAAGTATTGAAGAAACATACCTCAAAATAGTAACAACTGTCTATGACAAACCCATAGCCAACATTATACTGAATGGGCAAAAACAGAGAACATCCCCCTTGAAAACTGGCACAAGACAAGGATATCTTCTTGCACCACTCCTATTCAATGTAGTACTGTAAGTCCTGAACAGGGCAACAAAGCAAGAGAAATAAAAAAAGGGACTCCAAATAGAAAGAGAAGTCAAATGATCCCTGTTTGCAGATGACATGATTTTATATCTAGAAAACCCCACAGCCTTGGCCCAAAAGTCCTTCCAGCTGATAAATAACTTAAGTAATATCTCAGGATACAAAATCAACATATAAAAATCACTAGCATTTCTATACACCAACATCAGCCAACCCAAGAGCCAAATCGGGAATGCAACCCCATTTATAATTGCCAAAAAAAGAATAAAATACCTAGGAATACAGCTAATCAGGGAAGTGAAAGATCTCATTTGTGTGCAGGGGACATGCTAATCTTCTCTGTATTGCTCCAATTACTGTATATGTGCTGCCAAAGCAAGCAAAGAAATATCTCTGCAATGAGAATTATAAAGCACAGTTCAAATAAACCACAGATAACATAAACAAATGAAAAAATATTCCATGCTCATGGATAAGAAGAACCAATATCTTTAAAATGATGATACTGCCCAAAGCAATTTACGGATTCCATGCTATTTCTACCAAACTCCTAAAGACATTCATTACAGAAATAGAAAATGTTGCTTTAAAATTCATATGAAACCAAGGCCCCAAATACTGAAGGCAATCCTAAGCATAAAAATCAAAGCTGGAGGCATCATGCCACCTGACTCAAACTATACTATAGGGCTACAATAATCAAAACACCATGGTACTGGTACAAACACAGACACATAGACCAATGGACCAGAATAGAGAGCCCAGAAATAAGTTCACACATCTACAATAATTTGATCTTTGACACAGCTGACAAAAACAAGCAATGGAGAAAGGACTCTCTATTTGACAAATGGTGCTGGGATAACAGGCTAGCCATATGCAGAAAATGGAAACTAGACCTCTTCCTTGCACCATACACAAAAGTCAACTCAAGATGGATTAAATATTGAAATGAAAACCAAAAACTATAAAAACCTCAAAAGACAACCTACGCAATACAATTCGGGACATAGGAATGGACAAAGATTTCATGATGAAGATGCCAAAAGCAATCACAACAAAAGTAAAAATTAACAAATGGGATCTAATTAAACAAAAGAGCTTCTGTACAGCAATAGAAAATATCAGAGTAAATACTAAACCTACAGAATGGGAGAAAGTATTTGCAAACTACACATCCGACAAAGATCTACTATCCAGCCTTTATAAGGAACTTAAACACATTTACATGAAATATACAAACAACCCCATTAAGAAATTTTTCAAGAGAAGACCTACATACAGGCAGGCCAAAAAGCATGTGAAAAAAAGCTTAACATCGCTGACCATTAGAGAAATGCAAATCAAAATCACAACCACAATGAGATACCATCTTACACCAGTGAGAATGGCTATTATTACAAAGTCAAAAAATAGCAGTTGTTGATGCTGATGAGGTTGCAGAGAAAAGGGAATGCTTATACACTGCTTGTGAGAGCGTAAATTAGTTCAACCACTGTGGAAAGCAGTGTGGTGATTCTTCAATGAACTAAAAACAGAACTAGTATTCAACCCAGCAATCTCACTACTGAATATACACCCAAAGAAATATAAATGAGTCTGTCAAGAAGACACATGCACATGCACAGGTATTTTCATTGTAGCACTATTTGCAATAGCAAAGACATGGAATCAACCTAAATTCCCATCAATGGTAGATTGGATAAAGGAAATGTAGTACATGTACACCATGAAATACTATGCAACCATAAAAGGAATAAGATCATGTCCTTTGCAGGGACATGGATGAAGTGGAGGCCATTATTCTTAGCAAACTCACACAGAAATAGAAAACTAAACACCACATTTTCTCACTTAATAAGTGGGAGCTAAATGATGAGAATACATGGACACAAAGAGCGGAACAACGGACACTGGATCCTGCTGGAGGGTGAAGGATGGGAGAAGGGAGAGGAATAGAAAAAATAGCTATTGTGTACTAGGCTTAGTCCCTGGGTGATAAAATAATTTGTGTAACACATCCACACGGCATGATTTTACTTATATAACAAAACTACCCATGTACCTCTGAACATAAAATAAAAATTAAAAAATTACTTTTTAGTGCAATATTTACTTTTTTAACAAATTTTCATATTGTTCTTGTTTTGTAGGCATGTAGCAAAAATTCTCAGTCTGCTTAGTGCTATAAGAATTTATTAACAATCATATTTTAAAATTATGGAATTATTTTTTCTATTAAAAAGTTCAGAGTACATAATATAAAAGTCCAAATAAATTTAATGTAATTTTTGTATAGTATTTTTCCTATTACTCACTATTATCCAACAATTTAGAGGTTATAATTATCCCTATTCCACAAATCAGGGAAATGAGTGGATTTTAATGCTGTGAACTAAGTGTCCATATTAGTATAAACCATTCAATATTTTGTACAATTATTTTATGCAATAATACATAAATTTACTAAAATACATATTTCAACATTTGAGGTAGGATTTTATTCTCCTTCAGTGCCAAACATATTTTAATCATTAATTTATATTTATCTTTGTCAATAATAAAATTAAATTTCTGTACTTTGATTCACCATTTAGAATTGGTGGAAGTTTCTATAGGAAGATCAACATATATAATGAAAAGTACAGGACCATTGCCTGAAAGAGTTGTGTTTAAATTACTTATCACATTGAAGTAGTTATTCATCGTTAGCCAGAAGAGTCAAGAAAAGTAATCTGAGAAGTTAAAATAATCTTTGTCACAGACATTTAAAAAGAGCAAAGAACTGTAGATTAGATCAAAATTTGCCTGGGTTTATCCACTCCCTGTACATAAGTGAATTTTGTAACTTGTATTTACTTAGATAATGTAGCAGGAAAATCGCAGTTTACATTGATGTTTTAACAGCAACAACACAGTTGTTTAAGGCTAAAATTAAATAAAATTTGGAACTGCTTTTTAAGTCAGAGCAGAAGAAAACATTTGAGGCAATTGATATGTAATAATTTAAACATAAACTTGCAAAAAAAAAAAAAAAAGAAAGATAAATCAGTCATTTCACCTGGTTTCTTTTACACATTCATTTTATGTGTCATGAGAATTGGCCTTCAACATTATTTACATCTTTTCTTTCTATTCTATAAATGTATTATAGGGTGTTGAAAAATTGTTGTTTGTAGCATTTTCACAGCGAAGGAGAAGAGAGAATATTTCACACAGTATAAGATTTATGCTTACTGAAGGCAGCAAGAATTGCTTGTGCACATTTTACAGAAGAATTTGGCTCCTTGCCATAAACGTTCAAGTGACCACTTAGGAGTTCTCATTGAGAACCGCTGTATGCAAACACATGAGCTGTGGATTGATTCTTACTTAATTACCAGACCACCAACTTTGCAAGTGCCATTAACTGCAATACAATCTTGGACACTGTGCAAAACCATCATGATTTTTCCTTCTGATCACTCCAGTGTGTTTCATACCATCTAGGAAGGCTCAAAGGTAGTACATAAAATTTCACGCTCATACGTCAAGTTGATGAAAAAAAGTGGGCACGCTACAATGCTTTCAGAGTCACAATTCAAGTGAGAAACCTAACTACATATTAAATTCATGGATAAACAATGGGAACTAGAAAATCATAATTTCAAGTTTTATTTCTGCAGGCATTGGTATATGACACCAAATTATTAAATTTTGCACAAAATTGAACACATAAGAAATTTACATAGGGATAAGAGCGCTTCATGGAGTTTGGGAATGTGCAAAAGCTATAGAATATTTTCATAATAGTCAGTCTTATGAAGCACAAACTGAAGAATAGCTATCAATATGACCCCCACCTAATTTCTATGGTAACTTTAATATGTGTAACCACTACATAAATGGGCAAGAAAGTCCTGAAATGCAGAAAAGATGTCAGGTAGCAGGTAGATGCTTGTTAGCTTTGGTTGCTGATGCATATTGATAACTAATATTTCAATACTAAAAGCATCTTTAGCATACAGAATTTTCTGGATAATGTTTGGGGAGGGGGATGTAGTGTTTTTTGTTTTTGTTTTTGTTTGTTTGTTTGTTTTTATAAGTAGATCCTGTGCAGAAGTTGTTTTCTTTATAAAGTGAACTAGAAAAGTTTGTAAATCAGTCTTCTTATTTGTCAACAATCTAGAGAAAAAGCATGTCACTGGAAGGAAATGTTCTGTACTTTTGTAAGATGGTAACACAGTTTGGCTCTGTGTCCCTGCCCAAATCTCATCTTAAATTGTATTTCTGTAATTCCCATGGGTTGTGGGAGGGACTTGGTGAAAGATAATTTGAATCATAGGGGGCATTTTCTCCATACTGTTCTCATGATAGTGAATATGTCTGATTAGGTCTGATGGTTTTATCAGGGGTTTCCATTTTTGCATCTTCCTGATTTTTTTTCTCTTGCTGCCCCTGCCACATAAGAAGTAACTTTTGCCTCCTGCCATGCTTCTGAGGACTCCCCAGCCATATGGAACTTTCAGGTCTCAGGTATGCCTTTATCAGCAACATGAAAATGGGCTAATACAGATGGCATGGCAGGCGTATTTGCACTACAAATAAAAAATAATATCCCAAGGAATTATAGTTAACAAAGACATTAAAGACAGGTCATAGATCAGAAAACTTAATCTTTTGGAAGGCAGTAGTCCCCAAAGTGATCTACAGATTTAATGCAATTTCTATCAGAATCCTAGCTGACTTCTTTGTAGAAATTGATAAGCTGATTCTAAAATTCATGCAAAATTGCAAGAGATGCAGGATAGCCAAACAATAGAAGAAAAGAAGGAAAATGTATGGGGACTCAGAATTCCTGACTTTAAAACTTACTACAAATAACAGTAATCAAGAAAATATAGTACTGGTACAAGGATAGGTACATAAATCAGTGGAATAGAATTGAGCATACAGACATAAACACACATATCTATGGTCAACTGATTTTTCACATAGGTATCAAAGCATTCATTGGAAAAAGAATATTCTTCCCAATAAATGGCATAGGGACAAGTGGATATCCATATACAAAAGAATGAAATTAGACCCTTAATATCAGAAGCAAAAATGAAATAAAAATTGATCAAAAACCTGAATATGAGTTAAAACTATTAAATTTTTAGAATGAAACAGGGGAGTAAATCTTCCATACTTTGGATTTGGCCAAGGGTCCCTATGTATGACATGCAAAGCATGAAGAAACAAACAAAAGATTAATTAAACTTTATCAAAATTAAATACTTCTGTGTTTCAAAGGATATTAAGAAAATGAAAAATCCCATAGAATGGGAGAAATATTTGTAAAACACATCTTTGCTAAATTATTTATTTTGGAAATATATTTTAAAAATTTATAGC